TGACAGCTTAGGAAATACCTCCAAAAGGCATAAGGGATTGGAAAGAAAGCCCCTGAGAGGAAAGCTAGTAGGAGCCAGAATCGTGTTTGCAAGAAAGATGGTGTTGACGACGGGCATCCCTCTGGGTTAGCAAGGGTCAGGAAGCATGCTGGGTGTTTGGCCTCTATGCCCACAGAAGCCTGAGATCATGCCTCTGTCCCAGGCATGGGTCACCAGCGGGAGCTGCCCCGCAGGGTGGGGAAAAGAAAGACAGAGTTCGCCCTTTGACTTTAAGAGTCTTGGAGGTTACCCCCCCCAACACCTCTTTGGCACCCGCTTTCTAAAGCCCTTCCAAAGAGGGCCAGGGCACTTTCCCGTGGCAACCCCTCACACTGAACATCAGAAAGAAATGCCCACTGTGCATTATGTAAAGGAAATGTCGTCTTTCTATGCGACAAAACCAAACCATGTAGAAAGATGGGCCTGGCCGAATGCTTCCCCTGCAACCCTGGGGGCCCAAGGCAGACCCCTTCCCTTCCCTCGTGGCGGGGAGGGGGGGGGCGCATTTTCTTGGCTCTCTCTGGGCACTGCCTGCCATTGATTTTTTTAGCACTTAAGTGCGAAACGGACTTTCTAGTGCCATTTACTCTGAGAGAATACCCTCACAGCAGGTGGCCTGCCAGGGGAGAGACTGTACTGACCCTGATTCCTGCCAAAGACTTTGCTGCCCATTTTTTGATCTAAGTGTAATTTATTTGTCCAAATTATTTGATCAGGTGAAAAGTTTGGGGGATCGCTCTTAGAAGGGCAAAGACTGAAGGCCCGTTTCTTCCCACCCTCAGCTGCGGCCCCGTAGAAAAAGCCACGTGGTGGGATAGAAACGTAACAATGACACTCTTCCTTGATATCTTTTCCAGTCTTCGCGACTTTAAAGTTTGATCCGTTCATGCTTTTCAGCTCCGTAACATTACCACTAGGGGAAACTGAGGACAGGGGTCCACAGTCACCAGGTGGCAAATCTGAGAGAAGATTCGTATTTCCAGCATGCTCCCTTGATCAACATGACTTCTGGCCTTGTAGGTGGGACTGCCCCGGGGGAAGGGGGGGATGCAATTCAGGTGGGGTGGGTGGGGTTGGGGAGGTGGGTTTACTTCCCAGAGAGGGCCCCGCTCACGGGTGCCAGAATCTAAACACATCTGATTCTTTGATTCCCCCTTGCGCTGGAGCTTTTCCCCTGAATCATCTCCCCCCCACCCCCCGCCCGCCCAAGGCCCGACCCTTTATAACCAGGACGATTAGAGTGCTTCCCAGTGTTATAGGGACACTAACTACCACAGACCCTTAGTTATGGACATGTGAAGAACCAACAAATGTTGGGGCATGGTTCTTGTCACCAGGGGTCTGCAGGCAACACGCTCGCACAGACACGAGGACAGACGGAGACCCAGGCCTGTCACACGCACGCAGATGCATAACCAGAACGTCATCATCAAAAGGGATAAGGGGGAGATTTCGGCGGCCGAGGGACTGGCTCAGAAAACTCTTCTGTGTGGTCCCTGCAGCCTCTTCAGGGGAACCCCAGAAAACAAGCCCTGCCACGAGCGACGCCCACATTCCAGTGCTTCCACGCACCACTGATCTGTCTTTGTCAGGAAGGGTAGGGGGACAGTTTTGTAAGAGCCACGGCGGATTATAAAGGCGTTGCATTGCAGCAGGAAAACTCAAGGAGAAAACCCAAGAAGGCCAAGGAAACACTCAGAGGCGAGGACCCAGGAGAGGAAAACCAGGACACGGCGTCGACAGGACGAGAGGCGGAGCGGGGGCCACGCGGGGTCCCGCAGGAAAGGGTCAGCAGTGTCCATGCTTACAAAACCTGCCGCCTCCCCCGCCGGAGGCAGCCAGCTCCCCTGCCATCCGTCTGGGCAAGAGGATCCAGTTAGGAGCTAAAAACCCTGTGGGAGGAAAAGGGAGGAGCGAGTTAGTGCCACAGGAGCGAGGCTGCTCTGTGTCCTTAACGACCCAGGGATAACCACCTCGACTAAGTGCAGGGCCTTCCGTCGCTTTCATCTCCTCTGACGCCTTAGTGTCTCGGACAGGACCTGGCACCTAGTTGGGGCTCGTCCTGAATGACCGAAAGAACGAACGAACGAACGAATGAATGAATGCTTGCTCACCCATACAACCGGCCAGGAAGAGGGACATTCGAAACAGCTTTGTGACAACCACAGGAGTTGTGATCTTGGCAATAACGGGAGCCTACTGAGCACAAAAGTATGTTTTCGAGGCTGCTGTGTCATAAGGCGAAAGACATGAGGATGCTGGAGAAATGAAGCGTGTGCCCCAAGCTCCTGAAAACGAGGAGGCTGAATTCCTTCTTAATTGAACGTAAAGGACACACGGTGGTGGTTTTGAGGCAGAGAATGGGGGTGGTGGTGGTGTGAGATTATAGACGAGGATGATGCGTGATGGCATTGAGGTAAGGTTTACATAATGAGACCTCATCTCAATCATGTGGTGTCCTGGATTGTTTCCAGCAATTTCTAGAGGAGGAGCGAAATTGTCAAAATAATGCATCAGTGGAATTTGCATCAGTGAGACCGTTCCCAGCAGTTTGGGGGGGGCGGAGTGACAGACATGGGTGTAGATGCTAGAACACAACTTTGCAGAGCCGAGAGCCATCATTCCACTAGGGGGTGCCCCAGGCAGAAGCTGGCATCCAACGCTGGGGTCCCCACACTGGAGGGGGCCTCAGAATCTCCTGGAGGGCTCATTAAAATGCTCATCCTAACCCCAGGGTTTCAGCTTCAGCTGGTCTGGGGTGGCCTAGAATTTGCATGTCTAACCTATTCCCAGGTGCTGCTGATGCTGCTGTCCCTGGGGGACCCCTCTGTGGGAAAATGAAGTCAGACATCCCTACGCGCCAGGAACTGGAAGAGAGGGCTCCGGCCGCCCCTCGCGCATGGGGTGGGGCCAGCTTACTCGTCCGCGTCCTTTTTGCTCTCTTCAATGAAGGCAATGGATTCAGATCTAAGGCGGTTGGTCACTTCATACGTTCGCAGAGTGACCCCGAAAATATCCTCATGGTAGCGGTTGTCATCCTAGGGGACAGAAACAGTCAGGAAACAGCCCTTAAATGCCAGCTGAGGGCACGGAGAGGGGCAGTGGACTGACCCTAAGGAAAATGGTCCTGGAGAAAGGGAGGGGTGACCCAGAGGCCCTGAGGGACCCTCAGTCTCCAGGGCTGGTCAGCAAGCCCGTCTGCCCGCCAGGGCGTGGGACCGCTCCAGCCCAGATGGCAAAGAACACCGGTGTTCCCAACCAGGACCGTGGTGCTGCTTTGTCGACTGTGAGGACAGCAGAGGTGAGGAGGGTAAATGGAAACCTTCACATTCTCCCCTCTCCTGGCTCCTGCAAGCTGAGACCCGGCACGGCTGGCTTTAGTGGGCAGCAGCATTACAGCCCACAGAGAGCAGCAGAGACGGGCAGCACCTCCCCAGTGGCCGAAGCTGAGCCCTCGTGGGCACAGCGCCGCACAGATTTAAACGTGCGGGAGGTTTTGAAGAAGGTCGTTCTTCTGTAGAGTGGGTGTGTTTTTAGTTGGGGTGGGTTTTCAGCCTCATTCTGCAGAGTTCTCCGGAATCTATGAAAACATTTCCTGAGGAGACCACCAAAGGGACCAAGTGATGGGGGCCTCCGCAGCCCTCCTGGGATCACTGACATTTCTACCAGAAAGTTTTATTTTTTTAAACCCACTGATGTTTAGCAATATATTTAGAGCAAGGGGTTCTTCTGCAAAGAAATGTTTGATTTCTGCTCATTTAGGGAAGCGGGGGGAAGGATGGGAGTCCCTCGGAGCTTCGTGGAGGCCTGGACTCAGTTTCTTTTCTATTTGGGGAAGTTGGTCACACAGTTAGGACTTGGCATGCTGGGCTGCTCCGAGCCTTTATGCAAATTAGGAGAAGGTGCTCATCCTTCTGGGGTGGACGCGGTTCCACGCCGAGGTGCATGGCCTGGAGAGCCAAGCACGGGGTGGCTTTCAGCTGCCACTTGCTTCCCTCGGACAGACCTTTTTGTGCATGGCTGCATAGGAGAGAGTGACCGCTTGCTTCTGGAGGCAGGGAAAGCTGGGTGAGGACGGTTTCTGTCTAGCTACCCAGTGGTTCACCCACTTGTCATTGTCACACACCACGATCCCCACCTGCACGCCTCCCGCCCATCCTTCCTTCTCTCTCAGCTATGGTTTGGGATCACCTAAATCCTCTACCCCTGGCCATCCATGGAAAAATGGGAGCAGAGATGTCATTATGTCTCCTCTAATCATCGTGACAGGTGGGATGAGGAAGAGGGGACAGGACCCTGGATGTCAGGGAAGGGACACGAAGAGCCAGCTGGTCACTCACCCTCAGCCGGCTGATGAACACGCCGGCATCTTCCACCGAGAGCTTCCCCTGCTGGGTCATGATGCGCTGGATGGCTTTGAGGACGTCGGCGGCCATGGTGACATCCCCGCAGACGTAAATGTGGCCCCCCTGCTCCTTCAGGGCTCGGTACACAGTTTCCGCCAGCTGCTCTTGCAGGATATCCTGCACGTACTTCTGCGGGGTGGGAGCAGGAGGACCAGGGAGAAGGCGCCAGGCTGGGTGATGCTCCTGTGTCGCTCACTCTCCTCCAGGGAGCAGAGCCTGACACGGGAGCTTGTGGCAGGTAGGGCATTTCCCGAGGTGATCCCAGGGGACCGGGAAGTGTGGAGTCAGGGAGTGGGGACAGCCAACCTGAGGCCATGTGAATGAGCTGCTCTCCACCTTGGACCTCAACTCTGCTGAGGACCTTCTAGGGGGGCCGTGTAGAACACACCCCAGAAGCATCCCCTGGAGGGACATAAGGGGGGAATCTCTGCTTGCTCCTCTGATAACCAGTGGTCACCCCCAGGGTGTGAATGCCCGTACATTTGTAGGACAAGGTTCTTAATGCAGGCTGCAGGCATCCTATGCTGGGGTACCAGAGAAGCCCCAGGCAGAGACAGCAAGAGATGGGGCCGGCTGAGGGGCTGGCTGGTTCTACCTGTGCAAGGCCAGCTGCTGCAGCAATAGCTGGACTAAGAAGAGGGCTGAGGACATGCGAGGGGGGCACAAGGGTGGCCACCAGGACAAACAGCCTCCAGGGAATCTGTCCAGTTGTCCTGGAAACTCCCTCCCGGGTGAGGCTGACATTCAACTGCTAGGTCCTGGCATGGCTGTCAAAATGTTGATGTCCTTCTACCCCAGTTGTCAAACAGCCACTGCCCAGACCTCTTGAGTGCTTCCCACCCAGTCGTCCTGGTTCCTTTCCTCGGATCACTCCCCCCGCCCGCCCCGGGCCTCCCCAAGATCCAGTAGGAGCATGCCCCAGTCCTGTGGCCTGTGTCCATTCTGACCAGCAGGGCTTCTGATGGGCTGTTAAATATTCTTTTAAATTCACATGAAAAATGTCCTTATTGTGACTAAATACACGTCACATAAAATGTGCCGTTTAACCATTTCAAAGTGTACGGTTCAGGGGCGTTAAGTGCATCACAGTGTTGGGCAGCCATCAGCACTATCTAGGTCCAGAACCTTTTCCCCAGCCCAGCTGAGGCGTCAGACCCACCCCGTTGGCGATCACTCCTCCTCCCCTCCCCGCCCCCCCAAGACCCTGGCAACCACGACTCTGCTTCCTGTCTCCATGGATTCGGCTCTTCAGGATATGTCATATAAGCGGCATCATATAATATGGGCTGCTAAATATTTTCAGTTGATATTTTCAGGGTCCATGCTCCCTGACACACAGAGCGGTTTCACAGAGGAGGCTTCAGAACCAGCAAGGGCGTATCTGGGAGGGGACGCGCGTGTGTGCGTGCGCTGGGCGGCCACGCGGAGCGCGGAGCGCCGGGGTTACCTTTGGTTTGTCTGGCTCGCGGGAGTAGGCCGCGTACAGTTCTCTGAAGACGCCTGTGTCCCTGGCCTGTAGGGTCTCCTCCCTGTAGATGTGATCCATCTTGGATTGCCGGCACCCAAAGACCAGGACCATGGGGCAAGGGCTCATTCCTAGGGACCGGGAAGATGTCATGTCACCGAAGGCTCTGATCCCTGAGTCGGGGGTGTGGCTGGTGGTGCTGGGGACCTCGGTGGGTGCCATGCATCGAGGGATGTGAACATGGCAGGACCTGCACACACGTCACACACACACACGCTCTCACTCTCTCTCTGAGGGAAGTCGGTAACGTGTGTTCAGATCTTTCTTCTCTGGGTCTGCCTTTCCTCCGGCCCTCACGGCCAGGGCTAAAACTCCAGTCTTTGCAGCTCCACTGCCTGGGTTCAGGTCCCCGCTGTGTGTGACAATGAGCAACTAACTTACTTAACTTTGTCTGTCTCCCTTTCTCCACTTACAAAACAGCAACGACCTCACAGGGTTATCGTGAGAAATGAGCGTCACACATTAGAACTGTGCCTGGTACCTAGCGAATACTTTATAAAAGTTAGCTATTCCCCTAGAATGACAGTTCCACAGGGGCAGGGTTTTTGTTTTTGTTTTTTCAAGTTGTTTCTGTCTCGGTCATCGCTATGCATCTGGCGCTTACGAGAATGTTTGGCATTTATTAGATGCTCGGTAAATCCTTGGTTAATGCATGGCTGCCACTGTGGGTTCTCTCTCCTCCCACAGCTGATTTGCGTGTCCCTCACACAGCAAAGCCTGCCCTTGATTAAGAGTCTGAGAATCCCGTAAACACACATCCATTCGATAAGGCTTCTTCGTGCTTACCCCTTTGAGGGCTGCTTGAATTTTCAGAAGGGATCCTATCTTAATGGTCACAGAAATGTGGAATTTTAGGCCCTGGGATAAGCCGAGTGGAAGATGTGTTTGAACAGGTCCTTTGAATTGCAGCAGGGGTCAGGGACTCTCAGGCCCTCAGATAAGCTGAGTGGAAGAATTGTTTGGACAAGTCCTTTGAATTATGCCATGGGTCAGGTCAGTACAGCGCCCACCCCCACCCCTTCCCTGGCAGTGATGCAGTAGAGAGAGACCGCCAGTACATCTCCGGGCTTCTGAGACACAGGGGGGCCTCCCAGGGTCCATGGTGGGGAAGCCATGTGGCCATGGGATCGTGACCCACCTTTGTGTTGGATATCGAACTGCCGTTGCTGCCAGAAGCTTCGAAAAGGGGCAATGCCAGTGCCGGGGCCGACCAGGATGCAGGGCACTTGGGGATTTCGGGGCAGGCGGAAGCTGGGTGCTCTGTCCAAAGAAGAGAGAGTCAGAGGGCTTGCTGAGTCCTGTGTGATCAGGAACAGTTGGGTCTCAGGTAGACCAGGTGGCTGTCTTGGGTACAACTACAGCAGGACTGTGGCTCTTCACCCTGGGCCATGTGCCCTTGGAGCAGGGTGGGAGACCCCAAAGAGGAGGTCCTTAGAGTCTGGCTATCACTCCACTCTCAGGTATCCCCCTTGCTGAGCTGAGCCCCAAAAGGCCTTGAGACCGATTTAACTCAGGGTTTCCATACCTCGGCCCTCCTTTTGTTCAGGGCTGCATACTTACTTCCCTGTCATGGAGGCTGTCCTGTGTGTTCGTGGGACATTGAGTGATGCTCCTGGCCTCCCCGCCCCCCCATCAGGTGCCAGGAACATCTTCTGGACATTGCTAAATGTCCCCTGGGGACAAAGGTACCCTCGGCCGAGGACCACTGATTTAAGCGTCTATGAGATCTTGTACGCTCAGGGAGTCACAGACTTCCAGGTACAAAAGAATCATCTGGGAGTGTCAAAACAGGTGTGGATTTCTGGGCAAGGAGTAAGTTTGGCACCAAGGCTGTATTTTTGAAGCTCCCCTGATGGTATGTGGACCACCCATGAATGTTCTACCTTCAGAGGCTGAGAAAAATGGCTGGCCAAGGCCACTGCTCAGGTAAAGAAGTTACCGGTTGACAACACAGGCACCTACAGTAAGCCTAACTAAGCTCAGTCGTATCCTTTAATTATTTTATATTTATTTTTTTAAGTTATATTTTTTATTTGGCTGATTGTGATAAGAACACTTAACGTGAAATCTACCCTCTTGACAAATTTTTAAGTGCACAACACAGCATTGTTAACTATAGGTAGGAATATCCTTTAAAACTGAATTTGAGAGGCTTTGCTTGATGGGGCCGAGAGCAGGTGTTTGGATTTTTCCCATCTCTGAGAAGCTGGGGACAGATGCGGTGTCCGACAGAACTTGGATAGAACTTCCCTTAGTTTGCAAAGTCCACGAAGGCTGAGACTGCATTAGCCTGGTTGGCTTACTGTAGCCCCAGCATCTAACACAGGACTTGCACTTGATACATATGTCACCTTGATCTGACATTGAGTAGAGAACTTCCTTAGCTTCTGCTACATTCTGTCTCATGAGCTGGTTTCCTTAACAATGTGGAAGGATGCAGAATATTGATCTTGATCCCATCTGACTCAGCCACTTCCCTAGAATGTTTTGGGCTGGTCCACCCACCCCAACTCAGGACAGCAATACGCAGATTGGGGATGGCTGCTCGTTTCTCTTCATTTGCCACTCACCCTCTCACGAAACAGGGGACGACTTCGTCAGACTGTATCCGGTTGAGCCAGGAGGAGCACACGCCGTGGTGAATTGGTCCTTCTCCATCTAGGGGAAGAACCAAGGTGGTCTGGCTCACCCACTGTCCCCAGGCTTCCCCGTCATTGGCCTCCCACCCCTTTTAGTCCTCTGAGGGATAAGAGGAAATGGTATAGCTAGTGGTGAGCTCGTGTCTGAAAGTGCCCAAGGTTCTGTTAGGTAGGGGTGGGTCAGATTCAAATCCTGCCCACTGAAAAGCCTTTGGTCAATGTACTCTTGGTGGCCTGCTGGGATCCCAGTGTCAGAGCCCTCTCAGGCACCGTGCATTTTAATTGCTTTATCAACGAGGAAAGGTATGGGAGAAAAACGTCGGGTTATCTGACAGACCTACAACCAGCTAGATATCCTACAGCAGACAGCTTCCCCCCTCCAAGGAAATGGGTGATGGCGGCTTGTGCTAGCTGCTGTCTTGGGGGTGTAAGGGGAGGAAGGGAATACGCAGGTCCTCAAGCTTTAGGGGTAATGCATGACTTGCCTCCTTCCTACTTTTGCACAGAACTGGCACTACCTAAGGGGACAACCGCTCTGCTTCTTCCCTCCACTTTTCTGGTTTGGGGGAGGATCTCCGCCCACGGGTGTGGGATTGGGCAGACCTGCAGAGGCCCCTGTGGGGAGAAACACAGACTCAGAGGCTCTCCCAGCACCCGCGCCCACCTCGGGTGCGGTAGGAGACGATGGCCACGGTCAGGTGCACCTCATCGGGGTACATGTCCGGCGAGGAGCTGATGGAGTAGTAGCGAGGCTGCAACAGGGACAGCTGGGTCAGGAGCAGCGTGGTGGGCATCTGGATGGACCGGAACTCCTCCAGCACCTCCACGATGGTGGGGTTCTTGCCCCATTTCCATTCCTCGTACTCCTGCAAGCCCTGTGTCAAGGAGAGGGACAGAGGGAAGCTTGAGCCTAGTTCCTGGTACGAATTTCCAAGGAGAGCTTGACGAGGTCTGGGGAAGAAGGCAAATAAAAATAACCATGGTCAACGCTTACGTAGTATCGATTCTGTACCAGGTTTTAATTCTCGCCGGGACCTTATGAAATAAGTATGACTGTTATCTCCGTTTTATAGATGAGGCAGCTGAAGGATGCAGAGGCCCTGTGGCTATGAGGTGGTGATTCTGGGTTTTGAATCTAGGTCAGGAGGTGGCAAACTTCAGGCCGCCAGCCAAACCTGGCTCACCACCTGCTTTGTATGTTTAAATGTGTGTGCAAGGGGGGTGGGGGT